AGTTAACTCCAAATAAATAATGGAGTTGATTACTAACAGCTGGTTGTGGAAATAAGACTTTAGAGCCGTAAAAATGTGAACCAGTCATGTTAAAGTGAGGAGTCTATACTCCACAACAAAGCTTAAAAGATCCAAACCATGACCACAGGATGAGAGAAAAGACAGACAGATGTTGGCTGAAACTGGTGGAGGCAAAGCCAGGTCAGAGATCAGTGGGTTGATAGACGCCTGCTGTGTTGGGGTTAGACACCCACCATCTCTCCATCTCCATCCCTCCTCACCTTAACCTCCCCCTTCCCCCCTCTCTCTATCTCCCCTGTGGGTCTTTTGTAAGGTTATTTCCGGCCTGGCAGAGCCCCTTGTTTCAGCACGTTGACCTTTAAAAGTGAGTGATGGCAGTTCTTATTGTCTGTAAGGCAATAACTGTCTGGACACAGGTAATCTTCACTACACTCGTGTCAAATCGAGTTTCCTGCACGAGGCCCGCATGGCTCCGCAGCACCAGCAGACTGCTTGGGAGTGGGACACACATGCATACACACACATGGCATTCCAGTAGAAAAGCACCTAGCTGGTGAGCAATAAAAGTGCATTTGAACACATACACACACGCTGGAGAGGTCCACTCCATAACCATCAGGAGCTCTCAAAGGCAGCGGGGAACCACACGGTGTAAAGGTCAGAAATCTCAGCACCTGCATGGAAAGGTTAAAGGCAAAGCTCAAAATAACCCCCCCTCAATCCAGGGCACAAGTGCAACCGCCGTCATCACAGCTTTATGATTCATCCTGTGTCATGTCCTCTCATGTCCTCGCATTCACGTCTAATGACCCCTCATTCTACCTTGTGTTGCATCAGGGATAAAAGGATAAAGCATTTCACGGACAAAGATACATAAAATCAATCAAGGAGTAAGGGACCTGTGACTGTATCCTTGTCAGACATGATTTAGGATGGGGAAAATGCGTTTTTCAGGTTTTTACAGACAGTTTCAAAGCCTGGTAATTTGACAAGTAAGAGTGGTGCGCCTGACATTCTGCTTTATAAGAGGAGAATAAAAATCCAATACATATAAATGTAACGCAGATGTTTGGAAAGGTCCTTGTCTTTATTTATTTTTCAAACAGTTTATCATTTTGTTTTGTTTGTCTAGTTACTTTATCTTTTGTCGTTTCAACTACTGCCATCAAGTTTTATTGACTAACACTCAGTGCGTTTACATGCACAGTTTAATCGGACTAAGCTCATAATTTGTTTTTTTTTCGCTGAATCAGACTTTCCTCCTTGTCCACGTATACATGCAGCTGAGAAAATTGAATAATTGACGTGAACGTGTCCTACTCCTAAAAACTAGGGGGCAATATTGGTCTTTTCAGCGTCACTGTTTCTGACCCCATACAACCGTCAACAACAACAGCAGGTCTGTGCCAGACGTCAGAAGTGTCTACAACTGCTGCTGGGCATTTTGAGCAAGAAGATGGAGCATCAGTACAGCGTTGTTTTTGTCGCATATGATGTCCGCGCTACTTTTTCTGCAGATGAGATGCACGCTACTCCTCTTCTCTGTTTTTTTTGTTCCAGGGTTACGGGGCGTGGCGCACGTGTACATGCATTGTTCACTCATACTCCAACTATGCTCGTTACATGGTAGAGAAAACTGAATTCCAATCGCATTATCTGGGTGTCTTAATCGGAGTTCTCAAACTTCGATTATAGTCGGACTAAGGTGTTTACATGCACTTCAGTTGTCCGGTCTTAATCAGAGCAAGGCAATAATTCGGTTTTCTCGAGTGTCATGTAAACGTACTGACTGACTTTATTCTCCTGCTCGGTCTTATGTTAAATGGGCTTTGCTAACTTTAGCCCCCTTGCATTTTTTAAAAACATGGTTACATGTGCACTTAAAATTCAGGGCAAGTCCTGCGCATGTTAATAGCGTGATGTACAGGTTGAACCAGCAGGGGCTGTCCATCAGTTAAAATACAGCCTCCATTTTGACACTTGACCTCATGGCCTGCCTAAACTAGCACTATGGTCAGTATTTTTCAAAATCCTGATAACCACCTCCCTCCAGTACCTCCGTTCATCCTCATAAACTGAAACCTAAACCTTGTGATCATGAAACTAACCAGATCGTCAGATTTCTACTAATGTGAACCCTTTTACCAAAAGTTTTGATCTTCTGCAGTGTTTCGTTGACTACAGCCTGATCTGTAAAAGGGGCTAACCTTTTAGTAAATTACAGTAATTTAAGCATTGTGGAAACTGCACTTTTAAAATGAACAAAACTGCTCATTGATTAACTGCTTGGCAAGTGATGAGAAAAGTGGCAACACTTGTTTCCAAAGCTAAAAGCAAGATAAAGTGCTGCCTTTTCAAAAGTGCATCATTGGGGAAGTTATATGTTTGGACTTTTGGATCTGACAACAACAAAATATACAACTTCGAGTTCTCAATTTGGCTGGTGGAGACTGGGAAGGTTAACTTCAACTTTTCAAAGAGTTTGCAAAATCCAGTCTATTTTAAGGTGAGTTAATGACAATACAAGGAAATAAGTTGAGATTGGAAGCTAGCAAGGGATCCTGTTATCAGTATGGCATAAAAAAACAGCAAAAAGGTCAAAGGTCGCTGTGATTGTACAAAACACAAGCTATCATCAAATCTAAAGAAGCTGGATTCTGATTTTTTCGACTAGTAAGATATACTTCCCTCTCAAAGCAACATTTTGCTGAACTTTAGTCCATCATATCCACCGTTTCTGTCTGTGGAACATCTAATGTGTCAGATGCTGCCTCGTTTGGGATTTAAACCCCACATGGGAATCAAACCTCTCATTCTGTCAGCGTTTCTGCCTTTCTAAAGCTTCTCCCCTGTTTCTCTCCCTCTCAGTGTTTATGTCTTCTTCCCCACCCCGCCGGTGTATCTCTGTTAATCTGGCTGTTGAACTTATTTCACAGTCGGGTCTCCGACACGTCAACCTGAGTGAGGAGAGAGAAGCAACTTTGGCATCCGTTAACAGAGAATCCGCAGAATCTACGCTCTGACAAAACAATCTATACACGCTCACATCACCTTTCATTTACCTCAAGGCGTCAGCTCTGACTGTGTGTTGAATCGCTGTGCCTGTTCTGATCAGTTCAGCTTACTAGATGACAGCTGAGTGTGTGGCATGCTGCAGACGGTTCCAGACAGTTTAATGGGTTACTATGCGGGTTACATTATTATGAGGTGGGTTGGGATTCTTGATGGATCAAAATTTTTTAAATTGCTCGATTGATAAAAAATCCTTTCTCTATTATACAAAGGGAGGCAAGAATGAAAAACACTATGTGATGGAGCGGCTTTAAAAGCCCCATCATCCCATAACTGGCGCTCAGGTCTCTCTCTCTCTCATGGCCTGACAGTGCCGGTGCTGGGAGTTTCTAGGAGTCCAGCAGTCCTGCACTCCTAGAAACTTTTTCCCCACTCCCTGGACTCTTTTCTTCCCATTGTAGGATTTCGAGGGTGCACACTCACCAACTATACCACGCACACTCACTTATCCATAGATATCTATATCAGAAAGACTAGATGACTGGAGGCGGAGTCACCAGCGTCCCTACACGGCGGCCATCTCACTCTAGTATACCACTCCAGTAGACACTACGGTAGCTGGTGGGTGGTGAGTAATCTGCATGATAAAAATACTCTCAACTCGCTGAAATCTTGACAGATTTACAAATGGTTTTGTCTACTACAGACCTTAATAACATGTCTATGAGTTGGGATGCTTGGACATATTGAAATGGTAGCTTTTCTTTGAGAAAAAAAAGAGACTTAATTATGAAGAACAGTTCTTTCACAGCTATTTGCACGCATGGACTAACATTCGAGTCGCTTTGCGCGAGTTGTCAAGGCTGAGACCACAATCGAGGTTTTAATTTCTTGTATGACAGCCAAGTTAGACAGCTGATAAACACAAGCACATCCACAAAGACTGTCATTTGGACTAAATAAATAAATAAAAAATAGGCTAACAGACTGGCGGTAAGTGAGACCACCTATTACAAAGTTGACCCAGCAGTTATACATCAGTTTGAGAGGCAGAAATGCTCTTTCGGCTTGACATAACTTAAGTTGCACATGATTTCCAAACTGTTTGGTTTGTTAAAAACATCTTGAATTGCAACATGAGGCAGAAATTTATATTGAAAATAAATATTTATATGTCATTGCTATATGTTATTATAGTCATCCCTATAATAGAAACATTACTAATATAACATACAGTGCATGGTTAAATGTGTTATATATAAATGATTGAATATAACTGCCTTGTGTGTGTAGGCCTACAGCTATCTGCTTAATGTTTACTTAAGAAAAAACATGGTTGAAATTACTCTTGAGTATGCAGGAACATAAATAAAACTCTGAGGTTTGTTACAAACCAACCTGTTTGAAAATCGGTTTAAAATTAAGCAATCTATGGTTATTTACATCCTACATGCACCGTAGACTGTAATGTTATGAGTAGGTGAGTGTCCCGTAGCAAAATGGCTGCCATGCGCAGATGTCGGTCTCCATTGGCTAACAGCGTGGGTAAGCCATCTAGAGTTTAAATATATATATACAGTATATATATGCACTTACCTGCTGCCATCTTGGTTCTCGAGTTCTCAAGCCAAACTGGGGCACTTCCTGGTCATACTGTAGATAGTACATGAGTCATGTAACCACAAGACTACAGCATTATGATTCACTTGTGGTATTATTGCCTGATATACTGTGTTTTAAACAAGGGTGAAAGTAGGATAAGGTTCTTGCAGGTGTACTGTACCTGTAGGCTTTGTAGGACCACAACCAAGTTTAATGAGGTCCCGACTCCGATGCCACAGTATCATCATCTGCTGCATCTCTCTTTCTCTTGAACAGAAAATCAACTTTCCTCAGCGTTTCGTTTCGTTTCTGCATTAAGATTGAAGCTGCTGTCTTTTTTAAACGTTCCCTCCTTCCGCAAAAGGCGGGAGGCGGGCCCCAGCGCCTCGGCAACCAGCGTCCAATCAAAAGTGCGCACCGAACGTTCCCAATTTTGGATTTTGTTTGGAAACAAATACGACTCACTCGCGAGCAGCATTGTCCTATTGGATTACTACGGTTACAATGCAGAGTGCGGACTGACGTGCGGCAACACGGTAAGCAAATGTAGCTGACATATATGTACACGAAAGTTTGTTTACCGTTGCGTACCGGCTGTAAACTGCTGTTTCTGTCTTCCTGGTGTGGTGCACCGCTGCCTGCCGCTGCATACCGGCTTTCTGTCACCCTTGGTTTTAAATGAATAATGTCACAGCCGTATGGAGGGCTTTTTGTGCCTTTTTGTTCATGTTTAAATGTGTGATTGATTGATGAATTTGGTGTTCTGTTGTGGTAAGTTGTGCCTTAAACCCCTATGGTTTGTTTGTGGATTTGCCCAGGGCAAGAGCTAAGGGGTATTGAAAGGAGGGCTCTGCCCATTTTCCTGAGAGAATGAAAAAGTCATGGGCAAAGTCATTTGATGTTTTGTTGAAAGGGTTTGCATTTGACCCATTCAGCACACTATAAATGTGCAACAAGTGTTTTGCCCATACCAGAGAGTTATGCCTAATGGTGATGAGATGAAGCCTCTTAAAGCATTGAAGCTTTCCATCCATTTGCTTGACTCATGGGCTGAAGCTTCATTATTGTGCTTCATTAGCTCTGCTGTTAATGTGCTTGTGCTGCTTGATTTGTCACTGTGCTTTTGTTATGGGGACAACATAGAACACGTAAACATCTCATTTACTTTTGTTTAAAGACAATTTTTCAACAATTCTCAAATCTATGGATTGTGGGGGTATAATTATTTGTAAATATAACAGGCAGCGTTTTGCAGTCTGTTACATTTTGAGTCATCTGCCAAACACGTGAACCCTTTCTTGAATCAGTCACGTGGTACGGCTGGCTTTCGAGGCTTCCAACATGTTCACATACATCACCAACACAAGCCCTGATACATGCTAAGCCGGGAATTACTCGGCACACACTCCGAAGCCTTGGCACTGAAAGACACATCACTAGTTATGCCTATTGCTTACACCAATGGTTCTTCATGTACTGTATATTTTTCTTTTCCCTGGCTGACCCACTATCACCAGCACAGCATATTTCTCCTTGGTCCATCAAAATGACCTACTCTGTCCAGTCAGATCAGACTACAATGACCCATCAGATTGGCATCCCCACTCTGGCCTTTCTTCCCTCTTGTCTGGTCAACCCTATCCCTTTAAAATGGCTACCCTACCTTTTAAAGTTTTCTCACCCTTTCTTGTCAGAATGGCCTTCCCTTACCCATTACTTTGACTAACTCGGCCTGGTCCGAATCAACTACTCTATCTTATCAGATTGGGATTCTCTGCCCAATAAGAAAAGCCTACTGTGGCCCATCAGTTTGACCTATACTGCCCCACCTGGATTTGCTACCCTACTCTGCACTGGAATGGTTTACCATACCCCTCCCTAGATTGTCAGAATAACCTCCAAATTTGTTAGTCTGCCTTCCTACTGTAAGTCAAGCCTTCTCCCATATATAATGACCCATCCTGGCCCTTGACAGAATGGTTAACCCTATCTTTTAAAATGACCCACCCTACCCCGTTGGATTTGGTGACCCTGCCTTGTAAAGCGGCTTACACTGGCCCCTAAATCAAACCAACCCTCAGCCTATGTCAGCTGCAAAGATTTGTTGATCACAACTTACTTAACCAATACAAATAGTACACCAAGTGAGACCACAAGACTGAATTTCCGTGGTTGTTTGAGGAGAAACACCAAATCTCTATTTCTTTAACTAAACACACAGCAGTGATGGACTGAATTTGTAGTACTTTCATTGTCTATTAAATGGCACAGCACAAACTGAGGTTAAAAATAGTCCAACCTTTACCTTGGCTCAGAGTGAACACAAACAGAAACATGGTACCAAACCTGGAGGTAAAAGCGAGGCCAACAGACTGCAAATATTTCCGAAAACTATGACAGAGCTAATGATGAAACATCAGACAGCGGTTAAAAATGCAACAGCAGCACTTTCTGAGTTTGGATTAGAAAAAGTGTCACAGCACTTTCTATGAACCCTCAGTAGCAGCGCGGCGCGGAGTCTGCAGAGAGGAATATATAGGAGGAGATAATTTTACTCCTCATTCGGCTGCTCTGCCAGCACTGAATCAGAGACATTTATCCTCAGGTCAGTTAACCGAGTTTGAGAGCCAGATATGTTATTTTGAATCAGGGAATGTCATTAAAAATGATGTGTCTTTTATTTTGCCTTTCTGGCATGCAACTTTGACTTCTTTCACTAAGAGATTAGTGCCCACAAATCTGCACGCTTACTCACACTGCATTTCAGACTAGACTCCAATGTTTTATTGATGAATTTTAAAACAGAAGGAGGATTGAGCTTTTTTTTCAACCCCGGCCTGATTTGAGTGACCTGGGGCCAAAAGTTCAAAGACTATCTTCTTTTATTCAGGAGGTTAAAAAATGGCTGCAATGGTTGCACCCAATAAAGATGGGTCCACTTTTTTCTTTCAATTACAAATCTATGGGATACATGTCTATGGAAACGAACCAGAAATGCTGCGACCCACTTATTTCTAAAGCCCAACAATGGCATTTTTGATATACCAGGCAATAAGCAAGCAAAGAAGCAGCGTTAAGGTGGGCCTTTGGCTGTAATGTGCACACCTGTCAGTCAAATCAACTACCCTTTGATTATGCAAAATTAAGCAAAATCTGTAATCTCAACATGGTATACAAAAAAAACAAACAAAAAACCCCCCATCCTGATCAGACCAAAATCAGTTTTAGACATGTTTATATCCGGTGTTGAGATATCAATGTGGTTCCCCTGGCTGCCTCAAGTGGACACTCAAGGAACTGCAATACTTCTGCATTGGTTTTTCTTCAACGTAATAGATTATTTGACTCTATATATTTGACTTTATTTATTTCACATTAAAGACCAACATAGTTGAAATCCATTGGTTTGCCTGTGTTATTTTGACTTTTAAGCCTGACTTGTCAGCAGGGGGAGCTCTAAATCTTTTGGATTCACAGACAGTGAACACCTATATTAGGGTGACCATATGTCCTCTGTTACCTGGACATGTCCTCTATTTTGGGGGCTTTCCGGCTTTTTCCAGGGAAGTTTATAAAATCCGTCTAATGTCTGCGGTTTTGTACGTAGGTTTCGATTTTGTGTTACGTGGACTTACAGAGTTAGATGAGCGTAAAAGACACTTGATCCAACCCAGAAAACTTTCAAAATTAACTTCATGCGACTCATGCCCTTTTTTTTGGGAAGTCAGAATATGGTCACCTTAACCTGTAGCATCCATCTAAATTCTCAGTCTATGGGTTAGATATTTAACTTTATGCAATTCTAGCCTGTCAGTGGTAAAACACAAGCCCCTTAGTGGTTGTTCTTCAATACAGAGCTTTGTTCAGAAGATAGCACTGCAGGTCATTTCAGTTGCTGTAGGCTGAAGTACTGTAAGGGAGTACTTCAATTACTTTTTATGCCCTGAAGTTATACAGATCCCAAGTGAGGAGTAAAGCGGTGCCTCGGATTGAAAACCAAAGACTTACTTTTAAATAGTGAAGAGTAAATAACCAGTCCAATGACTTAATGTGAGCTGAATTTGTAAATAGTGACTGAAAAAAAAAAAGCCTGTGAACTTTAAAGCCTCAACAAAGAACACAATGTTTGAAGCTCTGCAGCTGCTTCTCAAAATGGGAAAATTTGTAATAATTTAGACTGTCTTCTTTTGGAAAATTTGACAAAAAGATGCTTTTAGAAATCGAATGACAAATCAAAAGCAGCACTAACGATCCGTGATGAGAAAGGTAATGAAAAAAATGAGTTCAAGAGTGCGTTGACTGTTAGTGTGTAGTGTGGCAATTCCTTTTACACCGATATATTTGGAGAAGAAAGCTTCGCCCCTAAGAGCTGTTGATGTAGTGAACCTTCTGTCTTTGACTCTTTTTTCTCACTTTCTTTCATGACTTGTCTGCTCCCTTGTCACTCTGTCTCTCACTCCCCTCTTCATAAAGCAAAGTCTGTGTTTTGCCTGACTCTGACTTTTTTATTCTTTTTTTTTCCAACCTCTTGTCTCTGATCAAGCTCCTTTCATCTTTGGCCCTTTCGGCAAAGTAGACACTCTGTGGTGGGAGCAGCGTTTGCATGCTCGCACACACACATATTCAGAAAAGGTCACAGATTGGGCCAGAGCCATCACACACCTCAGCACAGATCTGTCTGATTGGCTGTATTCACACGAGGTGCCCCGCTGCCCCTGAAATAACCTCAGGCTGGTATTTCAAAGAGTGCTGAATACAGCGTGCAGGGATAGTGTTGAGCTCATAGTCTGTATATGCAGCTGAGTTTGGTACCATTTTATGAAATCCAAAAGCTAATACCTTATTCAATATATCGCTTTAACCTGACTTATCAAAATACCACCAAAAATTTCACATGAATATGATAATGATGGAAGCACAGGAGCAAGTGGTAAAGTTTGGCCATGCTTAAAACACTTTGTTTTGGCTGCTTTCCCAATGAAATAAAATTAGACACAACTTGTGGGTGTTACTTTTTACACAGCTGTGTAACATTATCTGTATGCATTACAGCACAAATCAGTAAGGGATATTCCGGCGTAAAATTAAGGTAGGGTCAAACACACTAACACCGAGTTAGACACCCTGTCGAGAGATGAATGTTGCCGACCGCTTGCTTCTCTAGTTATATCAACTTTAGCAACGACTGCACGATAGCAATACAGAGAGACACACACTCAACCAAAAAGCCACTCTATAGCCACAAATAATGCTCAGAACAGCACCTAACTTCATCAACAGTACATATAGGGTCTTAGCCATAGTACTAGCTACCAAACATCTTTTTTAACTTTGCCTTAGTTCTTTAGCAAAGAGACAAAACACAATTCACCTACTCTCTTCCAGCAGCTGCTTGTTTGTAGTGAGACCTCGGGCCAGTCCATTATGGACTGCAGCGGGGTGACACAGCTAAAGGAAGAACATTTATGATCATTTCTTCATGGAAATATGATCAGACCGAGACGTTAAGGCAGAAGAACTACCGCATCTGCAGTGAAAATTGATGAATATGGTGATTATTACCTCAAGGAAATGATAAAGTAATGATCATAAATGTTCCTCCTTGAGCTGCGTCACCCCGCTGCAGTCAATGGACTTGCCCACAGGTCTCGCGCCTGCTGGAAGTGAGTAGGTAAATTGCGTTTAGTCTCTTTGCTAAAGAAATAAGGCTAAGCTAAAAAGGTGTTTGGTGGCTAGTGCTGTTGCTGGGACCCTATATGTACTGTTGATGAGGTTAGCTGCTGTTCTGAGCATTATTTGAGGCTATAGAGTGGCTTTTTGGTTGAGCGTGTGGCTCTCTGTCTTACCATCTGCGGTCATTACTAAAGTTGGTATAACTAGAGAAGCAAGCGGTCGGCAACATTCATCTCTCGACTGGGTGTCTAACTCGGTGTTATGGTGTGTTTATCACTTTGAGGACTCACACGATGTGGCATTTAAATATTCTATAACTTTAAAGCTCGAATAATCAGATTGAATCGCTTTGCTTTGATTTGTGCATGTACAACAAAAGCCTTCGAAACTTGACATGATGTTCCGAGCAGCTTGATCTGAATCCGTTGCAGCTCATTTAATGTGTTACAGACAGTGAGAACAACAGTGATCTATCTCAAGCAGACTTGTGCTTTATGTCTGACACCAGCTGCAGAAGGTTTAACCGCAGGACTCTCTTTTTGTGGCAAATCAAGCACAATAAAGGCCCCCCCTCCAGAACCCCCCCCCAAAACCTAACCCTCGCAGTGACGCCTCCCTTTCCTGCTCAGCCACCAAACTAAGGCCTTTGCAGGATAAAGTTCAAAGCAGGATTATTAAATTAGAGAAAGACAGAGACAGAGAGAAACTGACACAGACATCAAACGGCGAGAAAAGGCCTTGTGAGGGGGAGGACTCAGCGGAGTGGAAGTGGTGCCAACTTCTGAATCTGCGCTCTGAAGAAAACAGTCCCCGTTTCCTTGCCCACACACACAACATCCCCCCGCCGCCCCCTCCTCCCAAACCTTTGTGATGTATCTGCCATGATGAAAAAAACAAAGAAGACACAGAGATGCTTTTTAATCTTCTGTGACTGTTGGCATCATAGAAGTCTCCGTCTTTGCAGCCTCTGGATGGCCTTGCAATAACTGGGCTTGTCTGAACTGAGACAAACCTTTTTGTTGTTTTTGAGGAAAAGAGCGACAGGCAGAGACACAAACTGTCAGGCAAAAAAAAAGTAGCAAGTATCCCTATAGCTTCAAAATGTTGACTTTGTGCAGAAAAAGCTTCGTTCTTTAAGCGATAGGTGATTAGGTCTACTTTATTAAACATGTAATGAGAGAAGTAAACGTCTATTTATCATGCGCCCCTTTAGCTCAGGGTTTGATTAGAGGGACCTGATGGAAATGGGATTTTACTCAGTGCACATTAAAGCATAGGTAAGCACAGACCATTAAACCTACAGGCCTCTTAACGCAGCTCAACTTAGTCCCCGAACAAATTAGCCACAAATGTTTCATTAGCTCTGACGCTTATTTAAAGGAGCAGTTCCTCAAATCAAATAACACCTTGATTTATGGGTTTGGATACGAAACTGGTTGAAATCTAAACCGCCTACAAAGTAATATCACATGTATGGATAAATAGAAAGATGCAGGCTTTGTATATCACCATCCTGCATCTGTGCTTGTATTTATTTATTTTTTGAAAGTCCTTTTCGTTTGGCTGAATCTAGCTTCGATAAAACCTTTATTTTGATCCATTACGCCACATTTAAGCCAGTATCTGTTGCCATGGTAATGCTGTGCTCACTCCAAAACAGTTATAGTTCAAAATTCAGACACTGTATCCAAACTTGATAGATGTGTCCCTGAGACATGCCCCAAACTCCATTTTGCATCACACTCCTGATACCATTACACTCTGCTTAGATTTGATGTTTTTGCTATTTTGTACGTTTGAGAAATATTTTTTTTTCCTTTAAGTAATTGTGGATTTGTAGTTTTGTGTCTTTGTTGCTTTTCGCCTTACTTTGGTCTTCTGTATCTCCTCACAGTTTGTCAAATAGATGTCTTTATAGGCATTATGAGTATCATCATTGTTTTTCTTGCTGTACTTTATGGCTGTTTTGAATATTTTGTCAATCTTTCATTATCTTTTTTTGTTGTTGTTTTGATCTTCATCAATAGATAACATGATACCGTAGTCATAGAGACAGAGGCCGCCTGGAAATGTATGTCCTGGTTTTGTGCCACGTTGACCTAACCATGCAGCTTTCTTTGGACGTATCATGAAAGAAGACTTGGGAACATATTACTAAATGAAAAAAAAAAAGGAAATATGAAGCACTTTCGATCATTGCTTTGATACTGTTGATCTAATGCTACATGATGCTGATTTGTAGATTTCCTTTAGAGGCATGTTTCTAAATGAAGAGCTTACATCTCCATGGCAGCCCCGAACCAAACACGAGACATCTAGCACACGTTTTATTGTGCCGACTTGATCTACTTTTAACTGATGCAGATCACAGTGTCTGTCCCGATCCCCGTTTTCAGAGTGTAAAGAGGCAGGCGAGCCAAGCAGACTTCCACTGTGCACCAGGCATGGGGCCCTCCTCTTCTAAACTGTACCACTGGGAGCGAGAGAGTTGTATGTTTCGTTTGAAGGCAAAAAATAGCCGGTGACATCCGCTGGCTTCTTTTGATGTGAATTACATACTGTTGCGTAGCTGGGAGTAAATCCAGGGAGGTACTTAACTCAGTTTTTGCTTCATTCTCGTGCCTCGTACCAAAATATATCCCATGTTTACATTCAAATACTTGTATGTACGCTTGTTCTTGAGGAAACTACTAGAAGAAGAGCTCATGTTGGAACAAGTATATACAGTGTAACAGAAATGAAGCAATAAAACGGTTTGAAATTTAGAGAGGAGACAAGTAAATCCAGGATTAATCCAGGATTTGTCACCCTAATTGATAAGCAGCTACAAAGAAAATAGAAAGAGAGAATCAGGAGAGAGATCTTGTGACTAAATAACAGTAAAACCTTGTAAATAAGTGATTAAAAGGGAGGTAGTAGTGAATCTTTATGCCGCTCACAAAAAAAAAAACAGAAGGAAGAAGAAGTAGGAACAGTAGTAAGCTAGTTGTAGCATTCCTTCAAAAGATGATCTGATGCTTCAAATGAATTTTTAAAGAGAGATGAAAATACTTAATCAATCAAATCAAATCAATCAATCAAATTTTATTTATATAGCACCAGTTCACAACAGTCATCATCCCAGATTTGGGACAGATTCAGCCCATCTCATCTAACATGAGTGACAGTGGCAAGGAAAAACTTCCTTTTACAAGCAGAAACCTTGAGAAGGACCAGACTCATGCCAGACAGCCACCAAGCCGCTGCTGTGTTGGGGAGGAATACAGAGAGATAAAGGTTTAAGCACACTTAAGCTGTATGCTACATTTTAAAATTAAAGCTTTATGGTAAACAAACATAAACACACTAACTAAAAATCGCACCTTCAAGATATTACAGCAGGGGTGCCACAAGGATCTATACTAGGACCCTAACTCCTTATATAATTCGTAAACGATCATTGTAATATATCTAATATTCTAATTTATAGGCTGTTTGCAGATGACACTGCTGTTTACTGTTCTGAGGACAACTTAAAAAACACTAACGAGTGCAGTCTCTGAGAAAAGAACATTTTCACATTAACATAAACAGTCATTGAATTATAAGAGTACACAAATAGAAAATTCAAAACTTTAGATCTGCGTACATCTACAATTTTGAAGTCTTCTCTGCCTCCAACTCTGAGTTTAGATGGATTTTTTTCAGCAGCTTTTAACTCAGTGGCAGCAGAGAGAAGTGATGGTTACCATAGACTGTTTCTCATGTAAAAGTGTTACCTAATGCATGTCTGATCTGAGCGTCTGACAGAAGCCTAATGGTAGTGCCGGTGAAGCGACCAAGGCTTGCTTGCTTTGCGTTGTCATCGGTTTGATTTGATTGGCCTCGGCTGATAAAAGCAGGAGTTCAGCCAAATTCAGACAGCCAGTGTAAGTGCTGGCAGTAATAAGCTGAGATCTGGATTCATTTGAGCAGAGCTTTTACCTTGAGCAGCTTGCAAAAACGCAGGGAAAAAAAAAAATCAAAGGATATGATTTCAGGAAGTGCCATTCAAAGATCGGAGCAGGAGAGAGTCAACTAGAGGATGGAGGCGTTATCTAAATGAGCCATCAGATTTAGCTTTAGCAAGTGATGAATGACACCACGGTCAGTGACCCAAAACTTTGCTCAGTGATATTTGTGGTTGGATTTTAAGGCTCAAATCTCTAGGATAAGAAAAGGAGGGATGAATTCGCCCATTTCTGTTCAACGGAAGAGTGAAAGCAGAGTGTTTGTGCCATGAGGAGGCTTAATGTCAGCCCTGTGTTTGTGTCCAGTCGAGAGGGCACAGCGGGCTCAAAAGCCAAACACAGGTATGGCTTTCCAGCTAGATTGGATCACAGTAACCGGCCACCAGTAGGACGTGCTATCCAACTGGAGTCCGCACGGCAGCTGGTGAGGAAGTAACAGAAGGACTTGACTGCTGTGTCTGACTGAACAGCAGGCAAGCGTACGAACCAGGAACCTTCATTTCTTGGCAAAGACTCAGGAACAGACACAAGTAGAGGAACGCTCAAGGCGATAATAGAAGAAAAGATGAATTATTTTGAATTGACGGGGATTTGAAGCGAGCTTTTCTTCAAGTGCCTTGAAACTAGAGACCTTCGGGGTCAAAAGTTGGATCTGTGACCAAGAAGAAAATATATTTACACTGTGGAAGACAAAAAATAAGAACTGAAAAATGTCTCAACCTCTCTGCGACAAATAGAATCCAGTTAAAAAGGATCAACTGGGGCAGACCCCGTCAAAGAAAATGTGTGCAGTGACTCTTGTACAATGATTCGCCGTTCAATGATCTGGTCAGAGAGGTTGATGAGTGCAGGGAAAGACAGGTGTTTGCTAATGCTTCAACTGTAAAGTGATTTTGTACAGTCGGGTTATTGTTCGAAGTTGGTTTGATATCAATTTTTTTATTACTCTATGGGGATGTGCGATTAATCAAATTTAAGATATGACTATGGCTCCCCAGAAACATGAAAATGAGATAATCGAGATGGAACAATAACCATGCTGCCTGCGGTGTAGCACTCATTTTGTTTTAAAAGGGCTTATCAAACAGCGCCAACTTTCACTTTATCATTATTAGCTTGGATGAATGTGTTTGGAGAAGGTACAGATGCAGTTCTAACTACTTTTTAGCCACAGGTGGAGAGAGGAGAGCAGGGAGAGGAGCAAGAGGAGGCATGTGTGTGTGATGGAATCAATGTTTTGATAATCAACATTTTTTTTTTTTCACTATTTTTCTTTTTTTAGAGTTTAAGCTCTGTGAATTCATGATATCAAAATAACCATGTTTATGATTTCTCCCATTATTAAGCAGCCCTACTTTTCTACATTTCAATTGGAACTATTAGACCTAACTGATTATTGCAATACAATATAATGCAATAGGAATGCCTTAAAAGCCACTATCCACTAGGAGTCATTCAAAAGTTTTCCTGTTGTTCCCAAAGCTGACATTATAAAAAGTGTGTTTTTATCATCACTCATTGGGTGCAGTTATTACACTAATTTTCAGACTATAAGTCACACTTTTGTTTATAGATTGGCTGGGTTTGCGACTTATACTCAGTTGCGACTTTCGAATTTCACACGTTTGTTATTTTCACACTGACAGCCGCTAGAGGGCACTCTAGGCTGGTGTACCAGTATCTGCTGCTCCTGTACCACTAAAGATTTAAAAATAACGTTAACTCATATCGACAACTGAGAAAGAGTGAGCCAAAAAGAAAATCGTATTCTGCAGATCACAAGCTGCAAGTAGTGAAATATAGAGCCGAATATGCAGCAATCACGTAGCATAGAGAGAGTTTGGAATGAGCAAGAAACTTGTGAGGGACTGGCAAAAAGCGGAGGTTACTCTTACTGCGATGAGGAAATAAAAAAAGCTAATTGCAGGCTAAAAGCTTGATGGCTAGATTATTATAATAACTTGCCTTCAAGATGAAATGTCTGTTCTTGGTCTTGGATTTTGTAAAATGAATTCCCCCAAAAACGCAACTTATAACGATATGTTTTTTCTCTTCTTCATTATGCATTTTTTGGTTGGTGCGACTTATACTCCGGAGCGACTTATAGTCTGGAAAATACGGTATTTGGTTGGTATCATTTCTGCAGCCTGATCATGCAGCTTGCTCATTTTCTTACGTGCTTTTTTTAAAAAAAAAAAGCTATTGTGAGCACACCTATGTAACTTTTCAGTATGGTCGAGTCTCATGGAAGATTTTCCTTCAAGAGGCATATGTGTTCTTTTGGTTGCCTTAAGGAAAGCACACATCCGAGAGTGTTCGTCTGAGAGAGCTTGGAGTCGATTTTGTGCTGGAGTTTTTATCCTCAGCAGGGTTCTAGCTGGAATCTAGCAGCAAAGCTCCCCGAGGTGAAGCAGGAGTGGGAGGAGGTAGTGCTGAGTGGTATAATGATGTCAGGAGACAGGGATTATTTTGGGGTGGTAGCAGCTTTTTTGGAGCCGTGTATTTCAGCATCTTGACACATACACAAGCAGAATCTACTCCTGAGGCTTGACACCATCTGGCCTGAGTGAAAAATTGTCGTTTTCAAATTTAGGCAAGCCGACCCTCTAATTCTACAGCAAATATTGAGGATCAAAAAGGGCTTTGTGGGCCGGCTCGAGATGATTAAAAGTGTAGTAGCTGACAAAGAAGAAGAAGAAGCCCGTTTGACCTCGTCCATTAGCCAGAAAGCAAAAGAGAGTCCGCCTTCCTCTGTCGGCAGTCCATAACAAGCTGAAATGAGTATTGTAGGGGCCTCCAGCCTCCATTTACCCCCTCCCACATCCACCCCCCTAGACTCCCTCTCTGTGTCTGTTAATGGATATTTAAAGGGTATGTCAGAGATCAGAGAAAAAAGTGTGTTGAGAGGTCGGGTAAGACAGGCATTATTCCTCCCCCCCGAGGAAACGCAGAATGAAACATGCATTAAACACATCTCTTTCAATACCACAGCCATCTTCGAAACACTCCACTCCTCGCTCCACCACCACCACCTCTAATATCTTATGGAATTAAAGCAGTGACAGGTTATCATAATCCAATTTCAAAGACAATCGTGCCGAGCACCTCGCAGCGCAGCAAGAAACCCAGGATCGGAATTGAATATGCACTCGGCGGATTAAATTACGCAGGGAGAAATAATTACGGCCTACATTGGGAAATATCTTTTTTGTGTTATTGCGAGAGCCGCGCTGTTGTATTGTGTACAGTGCTCACTCCGGTGCTCTCTACAAGATATCCAATCCTGGGTTGTCAACAGCAAGAGGCTGAGGTGGGAGGGGGCGGCGGTGGCGGCGGTGGCAGCAGCAGCAGCAGCAGCAATGATGGTTGTTATTGTGTTATTGTACACTCTGTCTCATAGCGCAATATCTGTTCTCAAAATAATGTCACCCTCTAATGAAGTAAGGCTCCTTTTATTATTTATCATTTCCTGCCACAGCCAAGAACTGTGCCGCACCGTATGCCCTGGAGATGTTTTTAAAAAGGCCTCTTTAAATGAACACATTTGAATTGTAATGTGATTTATTTTTTTTCTTTCCAAAGAAGGAAGAAGTAATGTTTTTTTTCTCTCAGGCAGCTGGTTGAGTTCAGGAGTTGTTGGCTGCAGAGGTTTGAAGATGTCATTTTCAGACTCCTCTGTTAAAACTGCTTTGATAAAACCGGCTGTAATACTCTTGATTAAGGACTCTCCATCTTGACTTAATAAAATGGAGGAAGTATGTTGGGGGGGCCAAGGACTAAGGAAACTGGTTTTAGCTTATTCAAGACATTTGTTATTGGGAAAACATGTCTTTTGTAATAGAATTTAGTTGAAACTACAAGATTGACAAAAGTGTTGAGAGAAATCTGATTTCATTAAGTAAAAATCAGCTTTTTGAGCCCGTCTCATTAGAAATCTGTTGCACTGATGTCTGTTCACAGTGATATGCCTTACATATCTCATATCATTTACCCATCCCTCAAACTAAATGGCACTTTGACCATACATCAGAGTGGTTTCTTGAGATCTTTGTTAACACATATTATACATCCAAGGACTCATTTGACACATAGAAATGTCACAAATGCAATAAAATGAAACCAAGTCTTAAAAGCAGGAACTTGGTAACCATGTCAACTGTTAGATATTTACTTGAGAAGTGCAGAAGTGCCGTGTTCAAGTGTTTGCTTCTGCTGAGTGAGTCTTGGTGAAAGGTCAGACCTTTTTAGACCTTTTTAGAGTTATGAATCCGACATTCATGCTCCTCATCAGTGACACAGCTAGTGATACAATTTACTGTTGAGATGTAAGTTAGTCACAACTCAACCTGCCACAGTCTTGGTCAAATTTTCTCAATATGAAATATGAGATTCAGTCAGTTTAACTTGGGTATAGATCCGGGGTCATGTTAGCAAATAACTTAAACTTACTGGAAATATCAAGCTAACTTTGTCAACATGAACCATCCTCAGACAAAAGTCATGTTTTAGGACAAGTGTTGGACGTACCATTGACCAAGTTACATGTGGTTACAATGAAATAGCTGAGTTTTGGTAGGTTTATTCATCTAAAACGTCAACACAACCTGCCCCCAGTGGTTTGTGCTCTGCTGACGTCATGTTCCTAACACATGGCCCCAATGTCCCTCCACAACCCAGGCATAAAGATAGATGAGAACTGATGGGTGACATCACCAGGGTTTTCAAGCAGGTTCAAGGTTACAGACTCAAGGGTTGTTTGAGGCAAAGCTCAACCATGCCGGATTTGGCTGTATGCTTTACCTCCCCTTACTTTCCCATTTTTACAAGTAATAGAGAAGGAGAAGAGTAAAGAGCTCAACCTCCCCGTATCCCTCTTCATCCTTATTTTTGGAGAGGAAGAGACGAGGGTAGGAGAAGAATCAGCAAAAGTGTCAGTCAAACGAACTCTGTGAGTAGAGATATGAGGCTATTTTCATGATTGGAAAACAAATTTTAAGTTGAACTCTTGGACATTGAGCAAATTCAAAGATAGCAAGGTTAATGTGTGTCAAAGTAACCCCCAGATGGGACTACATGGATGCTCTGAATGGCCCATTCAAAAAGTCACGCATGAATTCAGTGGGATCATTATGAGATTTGCTCAAATCATGACATCCCGAGACAGTGGATCTCCTCAAAAGGGCAAATTTGTCATTTAAATTAAAGAAACACAGCTTTGTGGTAGTGTTGGGCAGTATGACGGTGTATACCATGTGATGGTATAAAAGTGTCTACTGGTAGAAAGAGCAGATGTCTGCAGGATCTGAGTCAGTGTGTAGTCGTCTGTGCTCGCTAATAGATGAGTCAGAGCGGAGTTTGTTCGCTCCGTTTGATTGGTCAAGTTTTGGTGTGCTTCCTAAAACAAGAGGAAGAGGAGGAACTCCTTCCGAAAAATGGCACAAGTGGCAACATGGGTTGTCTGGAGATTCTTTGCATGTCCACTGAGAATTGCATGCGCCTCGAGGAAACGCGCACCGCTTATAGTAAAGTGTTCCATGGAAATGTGCAATTTAAAACCCATACAATTCTTACTTGTTGGGCTAAACAATGATGAGTAATGTTCAGAAAGTAATTTTTAGCGGACACGCGGTACAACACTGGCAGCCAGCGACTCACTCCATGTGCAGGGGCGTGGTTTCCTCCTCTGATTGATGGCTGGCAGGGTAGCATGGTTGGCAACTGAGTAAAGAACGACCATGATTGGTGGATAGCTGTACAGCACATGCAGAGTCACATGCAGTCTATCTCAGTCAGTTACCCTTGAAATTAAATGAGTTCATTCGCCTTCAACATCACAAGCTCTACAATGTGACTAAAGCACACTTGTACATCACGATGACAATGCTCAGACGATACATTGTGCAGCTCTAATACAGTGATATAAGATTTTGTTCATACCGCCCAACACTACTCTGGGACGTAGGAACAGTGAGTGAGGCTTCCAGAATGCTGGATTCCAGAATACTTGGGAGGTCTTAAAGGGACAGTAGCTTAAATTAGCAGCCTGGAATACATAAAGAATTAGTTGACCTGTAAATCAAATAAAGCTGCAAAGAGGCCTTCAAAGGGACAATATAAACGCTCAGAATAAGAATAACATACCCTCTCTAATCGTTAAATCTCTTTGGGGGGCCTTTAAAAACCCACATCAGCTGAAATCCAGCCTTGAGCCAAGAGGAAAAAAAATGGTAGGTGGAGGTGAGGGAGGGAAGTGATGTGTGTAGCACAGAGACATGTTGACAGAGGACAAATGAATAATGGGGCTGAGAGATATAGAGGAAAGAGGGAAAGGGTGAGTGAGGTATGAACGAAGAAAGGAAGGAGGGAAGGAGGGAGGGCAGGAGACTAGGGGGTGACAGGGTCCGCTTTCCATTCTTGCTCCCTCTACCGCTTTCCTGCTGATTTCTATATCCACGGCACACCCTGGAGATTTCTCCCCACACCTCAATCCATCACACGCTGCACATAATTGTGAGTACACAGATACAGCCATGCATCACTGCATGGGCCAGAAAGGCGAGGAGCTCCGCGTGTCGGCCGCTGGAAGAAGAGAGACGTCTTGTGTTGCCGTGCTGCACAGGAGGCGAGACATGAATGCACGGAGGCCATTTGTTCTGGCTGAATAAACAGAAAAATACCCTCCGAGGCCTGGATCACTTTCTGACCTGTTCCTCTGCATTTTATATCAGCAGCCAATTACGGGCCGGCTAATACTGATCAATGCTGCTGTGCTCTCTATGCATGAACTTTCCCAAATGAGGAGGTCTCTTCCTGCTTTCTCCAATTTGTTCCTCACGCTCTGTGTACGTGGTATCCCTTTCATTTTATTGATGTGTTTGTCGATCTCTGTCATCTAATTATTTCCCCGCTCTGTGTCTCTTGCTCCTCTCTCGGCTGCAGAAGGCATCTCTTTGATTGCCAGGGCTACACTCTGCTCGGCACAGATGATACCCCCTGATTTGAACCAAATTATTGCTCTTTGGTTAGTCCACACTTAAATATTTTAGGGGGACAGGGCTTTGAAATGGCTACAAAGGGACAAAGCCAGGAATTTAAATGACAGGAACATGCATAAAGATTTCTAGATTTTGCAGCTTTTCATCTGTTCCCGGCATGCCAATCCCTGGCCAGCCAAGAGGGAAGGAAAAACGACCATCATAAATATGGTTTTGATTTTCTAACCAGGCGAAACAACAAAGTTATGGCGGGAACATTAGCCACATTGATCCCGTCTGGTCGATGGAATAAAGCAGCGAGTGACCTTTCCCTCATTTGGAGGCATAAAATTCCTTGTTGAAGTCTCACAGGGCTCCGGCTGAAAGCATTAACACAAATTACCAGCCGCCATTAAAGGCCCGCATCAATTCCAGCCTGCGCCATCATTACCAAACGACCGATAAAATGCTGGAAAGCCATCGTCCTGTGCTCTGGCATGCCTCACACTCACACGAAAAAAGAAGAACACGTGCAGATGCTAACACACACTCAGCCCTGGAGACCGCTGCGAAGCCTATTACACACAGTCTGATTTACAGCTGAGCTGCCTGTAGCAGGGACCATCAAGCTAGCAGCGCACCAACCTGCCGTGACAGTGCAACTAATTGAGCCCAGATATATCTGCCCCCCTCCCAACTAAAGCCTGAAAGGGTGATAACACGCCTACCTGCACAACACTGCCACTCCATATTTTACAGACAAAAACAACAATAAGGGAGGACACACACCCCGGAGCTTCATTTGGAGATGTTACATTTGAAATGGGGGTAATTGTCCAGGTTTGCAGTTTGTAAATCATTGCCTCTGAGTTTTCTTTGTCTTCATTCTCATAAAAAGAAAGGGTTTTTAGTTGAAGAAGCTTTATAAAAATGATCTTTTTAACCCTGATATTTCTAGTTACAAACAAGACTTCTACCTCCTGTAAACCAAGGACTTTAAAGGACTCTACACCAAAAGGTGAAGCTCCTATAAGAGTTTTTAACTGGCTGTGAAACAGATTGACATTAATAGTGATGCCATAAACAACAAAACTAATTGTAATTTTCATGCCTAAAACTGCAGCGAGGGGTACGATTCAGACCAGATGATTAACCCTGCAGTGTTACAGACCTGTTTTTACCCAATTCTTGCTGAAAGGAAACATAGAGCTGAACAGATTCTTCATAGAAGCGACGAGAGAGTCCCTCAAAATGTTTGATCACATATAGAGCAAACAAAATAGGACCCAGCACAGAACCCTGAGGCACACCACAGAAAAATTCAAAGAGGTACACATTAAAGGGATATTCAGCCACGTGCTGTCTGATTGCATTTCCTCGTGGATCATATGAGGATTATTACTTTAAAGAAATGATAAAGTAGTGATCATAAATGTTCTTCCTTGAGCTGCGACACCCCACAGCAGTCAGTGGACTCGCTCAGAGGTCTCCGTACAAACAAGCGGCTGCTGGAAGAGAGTAGGTGAGTTGTGTTTAGTCTCTTTGCTAAAGGAATCAGGCAAAGCTAAAAAGATGTTTGGTGGCTAGTGCTGTGGCTGGGACCCAATATGTACTGTTGATGAAGTTAGGTGCTGTTCTGAGCATTATTTGTGGCTATAGAGTGGCTTTTTGGTTGAGCGTGTGGCTCTCTGTATTGCTATCTGCGGTCGTTACTAAAGTTGGTATAACTAGAGAAGCAAACGGTCGGCAACACTCATCTCTCGATGGGTGTCTAACTCAGTGTTATGGTGTGTTTGACCCTAACTTAATTTTACGCTGGAATATTCCTTTAATACTGCTGACATGTCATTTACGTTAGGTGTTTTGTATTTTTCTCTTTATTGTCTAGATGGGTCTCAGGTCAGGCTGGACAGTGAAGCACAGTAACATAATAGTCAGTATACTATTCAGTCGAAGTTTTGGCACTGTGGGCAGGTGGTAAGTCTTGTTGGAAAGGGAACTGAAGATTGTTTTTAGGCTTGTCAGCAGATAGAGGCACAAACTACAACAGTAGGTGACATGACACCCCAAGTAGTCCCAGACTTTTCATACTTCTTGGTTGTTTATTAGCAAAGACGTGCTCCACTGACCACAAATTGCTATATACCTTTATTAGTGTTGTTTACATACATGAGACACAGCTGTACAAATCAGTGTAAAGCCATATGAAGTTGACTGCTTTGCTGCAGACATTAAACTCCACATGCACTCACACGAAACTTGAATGTAATATGTCAAACTTTATCAGGAACATGGACCCACGCTTTTCTGAAACTTATTATCATGAGAATATCCAGTAGCACAGGCTTCTAGCATAACCAATCAATCAACTTTTTATTAAAGAAATATTCAATAAAGTAGACACTTGTCAGTGTTCCACCCACACCAAAACACCCACATCTGCTGCATGTTGTTGCTCGGCTCGGAGCCTCTCAGAGACACCAAATCAATGTCATTAAATCAGGTCTATTCTGAGTGCTTAATAAAAAGTCTGTCACCTTATGTGTGCTCTGATAAAGCTCTGATCTCATAACTAGTACAACAATATTCTGCCATAGATGAATAAATCCACCATCCAAGACTAACAAGCTTCATATTAAAGCTGCGCCAGGCAGGATTTTATTGTGAAAATCTAATGCCGTAACAGAGAGGAGTTTGTGAAATGAAACAAAGACAGATAAAAGCATCCAATCACATCTAATTAAATTTGTTTACAGAGCCGGGGTCAAAGAGGGTCGGTGGTGGGAAAATAGTCCCTGCATGCAGAAGTTATGACGTCTTCTGAATCATTTAGAGGAACCCTGAGGATGACAAAGAAGACTGGGAGAAGTCTAGGGTATGAAATATTTGTTACACACCAACCAAACATTTACAGCTTTAAGGGTCCCGTAAATTCTTCTCTCCCTTTACGAACAAATTACAGTAAAGTTTGATAAAAACAGATTATTACCGCAAAAATATCGTAAAACATTATTTTGATTTTATCATGTCTTTTTTTTTAGATTTATTTTGTGAGACTATTTATAAGTTACAGTACAACCAACCTTTTGTCGCAACTTCATTATTTAACATAATGTTTTTTTTCTGAAGTTGCAACAATGCTACTTTAGGGTCTGACCTAAAAAAAGAAAAGCATGAATACAAATGTCTTTTTATTTGGAACGTAGTCCAAAACAGTTTATATAATAATTGTGATTTTAAAGTGACATAACAGGGCTCGACAGTGCAACCGTTTCACTCGCATTTGCGACTAAAAATAGATGTGTGCGAATTGTAAACTGTATTTAGGGGCACGTGCGCATAAAAAAAATCAGCCGGGGCAATAAATGTTTTTCATGTAAATAACGCAGCGAAGTTAGTTTTAGGTTGGATATTCAACGGACATTCACTGCGAAACTACCGGTGTCCTTTCACTCCCCATAACTGGTAATACCAACAGCAACGTGGTTAAGTCTACTCGGCACCCTCACTGTCAACGTCGGTTGTTGAATAAGGGACTATCAATAAATTACTGGTTGATGTTCTCAAAAAAGGCTGTTTTCCCTCAATAGCTTCCATGTCATGTGACCAATTGACTTAAAATTGATTTCAAATAATGGTACTAAGGTCAGACGATATGACACATCCCTTTATGTTTATAATTTGTCCTCTAAAAATTTCTGTGTTAAGTTTAAAGGCAAATTTTGAACATTTTCTTCAAAAGCTTCCATGTCATGTGACCAAAAGTGACCTAAAATTGATTTCAAATAATAGTACTTCTGTTGACCAATAAGACAAACATTATTTGATCAGTTTTCATTGTGACCCTAAAGTTCTTTATGTGCTCCTTACTTTTTCAACTTAGAGCACATGTGATCCTTGTGAAGGAAAAGTTAGTGTCAAGCCCCAATCCTGTTCTGTCGCAGTCCCTGTTTCTTCCCACTAAAAGGCCCCAAAGTCAGGATATCCTAAACCACACACACTGTCTTTAAAGTTAAACTAAACCAGCGTGACCACTGTAATGAGAAGCTTTAGTCTGCACTTTATTCAACCACAGCAAGTTTAAGCTTAAGCATTTGTCTGTTTTAATGAAAGTAGAAGTTTCACATGTTTGCTGAACCTCTTTACCCCTCTGTCCTCCACCAAAGTGTGTCAGCCAACAGCTCAGTGTCGAGTTGTGTAACTTTTGGGCAGTCATGTCTTCAGGCTTTGAAAAATTAAAGCCATTACATCATGCTGCCACTGGGGGCTGTCAGAGTTGCCTTGCGCAGCTCTAAAACGGTGCACAGTGAAAGGTTGCATTAACCAGTCATGATTTGGGGATGATTTATTAATGATGAATGTTTCCACTCTTCACTTTTTCATGTCTTCTCTTCATATTTCAACCTTTCTCTTGTGGGACATGACCCGACATGCATGGCGAAGACAGTTTTATCTTTCTTTCCACTGATTCTATGTCCAGTGTGTGGTTTTTACATGTGTGCTTGTGTCTGATCATGCATATTATGTGGGCGCATGTTTCTCTTAGCGCTCTCCAGGCCCCTGCTGCTCTCTAACCTTTACACTGCACCGTGTGAGGTCAGGTTGTTCACTTTTCTTTCTTTCTATCTCTCTCTCTCTTTCTTTTTTCTCTCCCGTGCCTCACCTCTCAATCACACTGAGACCAGAGTGGATTTCTTTCTCTGACAATGACAGGTGGGTGACAGGTTATCTGCAGGTTGCATCACTTTGTATTAACGTCAACAGGCGAAGAGTATAAAAACAGGGTTTTGCATTTTAATACAATATCTCAAGGCTTTTATGATTTAAAAGGATTGACAGATGTTTGGTTGTCCCTCGATACTTGAACTCCTTCATCTGAGAAAGAGACAACCAGATAACAACATATCTGCAGCTGATATTTTCCATTTAATATATCAGTCAGACTACAGGGTTTTCAGGTCATGTCTTAAAAATGATGTAATGGACATAAAAAGAAGCTCTGAGAGTCCAAAATGTTGCTCTTTTAATCTTTTGATTTCCAGTCATTTCAACTTTACATAAAATAAAACAGAAAAACAACAAAATTTCTTACTTTGATACCTCCATTGGAGAAAAGTGTTTATTTGCATGCAGTTTGTTGCATTTGGTGATACAGATCTTTTCACATTTCCCCTGTTTTTCATATACATCAGGTAGTGACACAGCGTACCGTAATGCTTCAAATCTCCATGAAGCGGCGCGGCTTCGTTGCTTACCAAAGTTGTACTTACACGTTTTGACAGATTTTTGAGCGTATTGTAATTCAGATAATCGGTCAGTAATCACAACAAGTAATCATACATAAAGCACGCTAGATTATAAGGCGCACTGTCAATTTTTGGGAAACTTTAATGATTTTAAATGTGCTGTTTAGTCAGAAAAACTCAGCATATGGAAAAGCCAAGGCAGGTAGAGCAGCAGCAAAGACACTAGAGAAGAACAAAGCAGGAATCAGTGACAGCAAGGAGTTAACATGGAGGCATCTGATTCACACTGTTTGTACTAAATTCATATGAGTTAATAACTTAAAATGTGATTTTTTTTTTTTGAGTTCTAAATCAAACTCATTACAGAAAATGGTTAAAACATCTCAGACCATAGTCCTACTTTTATCGTAATTCTCATTAACCTTTTTTAATAGGTCCTAGCATGGTTTTTTCGGTATGTTTTAAACACGCAATTAAAATCCTTTTTTAATTAAAATGCCTCTAAATCCTCATTTTTTGCTGTTCCTGATAAAGCTTTGACCCCTCTTTGGAAAAAAAGAAAAGAAAACAGAAACTCTTTCCGAATCCGATGATATAAAGCTTTAAATTGCCTCTTATTTAAGGCTGCTAGTACTTTAAACAAGGTTCTACATTTTTAGGATGAATGTTCAAGGTCAGGATGTTTAAATGTTCCTTACTTGCAGAGTTAAGTTTATCGGACGTTGACAAAGAGGTCTATAGAAAAGGTCCCATAAAAACACATCAATAAATATACATTTTCAATGACACTGTATGTAAAAAAATAAAAAATAAGTAGTGCTGCTGGAATCAAACCACAGAATAAAAAAGCGATTCGTTCCAGATTTGCTATAAAAAAGAGAGACAGCAAGCGGTCTCACTGTCAGTCTGGCCTCCCAATAATACTTCTCTGTTTCACACAGAACTCAACCTGTGACTCTTGGAAAGGATTTGCAGGCCAGCTGTCAGTGCCAGCACCAGACAACACACATGCACAAAATGAGCCGACACACACCCGTGTGAGGCGGGAGGCACAGAGACAGAGATGTGAGGGAGGGAGGGAAGGAAGCGAGCCACACTGGACTATTCTTTGAACAAAGCTTTGTGCTCGATGTGCGCTCGCCGCTTTCGCCTTTATCTGCTGTCCCATCCTCCCTCTCCGTGGGTGGGCATTTGCGAGCACGGATAGTGGTCCAGTCTCAGTCCTGGATGCCTGCCCTTGGCCCGAAAAGCATGATGAGAAACCGAGGAGAGTCCAAAATTCCCATAATGCTCGTACGGAGCAGGTTCTGAGATAATCGGACAGCAGGAAGTGGGAACAGCTTACAGCTCTGGACAGCAGATACAAAGGAGTGCGGATATGTGCATTTACGTGTGTGTGTTTGTGTGTTCTCATGAGTGTGTATGAATGTTTCTGAGGAGCTGGCAACAGGACTGCAAGTCTGCTGCCAGACTCCCTCCATATGTCCATCCCAGTCTGTCTGCGCTCACTAGCATCCAGCACTAACAGGCTAAAAAGCATTAGTGGATATTTAACCGGCCGTTACAGATCGGATCAGAGGAAGAGATGGAAAGGAAGCGACAGCACTTGAATGAGACAGACTGTCCTTAAGGAGCAGAGTTACTATAAGTGGAAGAGATCTCATAACTCTGATGTTTACCCGGCTCAGTACACCCTGTGATATTCAATATGCAGCGTTCACCATGCATCTTTTCTTCTTCTCTTGCTCAGGGGATGAACAAATATTCATAAACATGTACAGAAGGGAAGTTCAGTTTTGATTAAGAAAGAAAAGGTGAACAAACACTCCGTCAATTTGGTGTATTTTTGGAATATTCTTGACTTTTTTTGTACTTCAGAGTTGACAGCTTTGATGAGCCTCAGTCACTCTGAGATGAAATAATAATCCACCTTAAATGTTGTCTATGATGTAACCATGGAAAAACTGCAAGGAAGCCCAAGATAAGAGTTTTTTTTAATGGCAACTGCTGGCTACACTGGTGTCCAAGAGGCTGTATGGTTCTGAGATGATGGTGAATGGATTTCAAATTGACAGAAACCCGACAAAAACCTGTTTATCTATGTATTTGCATGGTCTGATAAGTTGGAGGACACATTCAACTTAATTCAAGATTAAGTTGAAGCTACTCAAACTAGTCGGCTTTGTGAATATCTATGTTTTCGGCTGTTGGTTTGGTTGTTTGACCAGTTAGTTTAATGGTGACGTTGACGGACAGCCAATATCAGTTGGTTGAGCTGCAACATTGGTCAAGTTTGGACTCCTCTTTGACGGTTTTACATGAAATTCTGTTCAAACATACCAAAGTCAAGCCCCTCTTAATCTCCAACCTTTTCTTTTGAAAACCTTCCCACGACTCTACCTACGAGACTAACAATTTCAGATACTTGTTTAATAATGAATTTCACTGACTTCAGTGCTACTTTGACTTGTTCTCCCAACATCACCATGAAATTTTTGATGAAAACCACCAGACAGCTTGCCAAAGCTAGTTCAAATAACCACAGATTCATCCAAATTTGATGATCTTCTGACATGCATTATTAAAGTTTTGAGTAGCTCACCCCAAGTTGGGTACAACATGGACCAAGTTTCTGTTACATCACCCATTTGTTCCCCAAACAGAGTTTTGAAGCCCATCAATGGTGGTCGCCAAACTCAAATCGACGACTCAGCCTTTGTGCTAGCATGTTTGTCATTCAAGCTAGCCATGCAAAACTCATGATCTGGATATCTTAAAAACTGAGCATAGAGTTAGTTCAGGCGGGCCCTACATCATCCTTACACCAGCCTACATCATTTGACAGCGAAGCCTATTAGCCTTTTACTTTACTTTTACTTTACAACTCACCTTTGTTAACTCTAATTCAATGATATGACTCTTTGCGATCACGATGATGTGCAGGTTGTTGGAGTTAGAAGACAGAACGCGACCTGAAGACTAATCCGAGAAATTGTGTTTTTTGTTCAAGTAACACCACATGAAAAAGAAAGACAGATAGGAAAGATAGACAGAAATAGGAAAAGAGATGTATGCATAAAATGATGCTTGAGGTAAGAGTAAGAATAAGGTAAGGATAAAAATGATTAAAGCTTACGAGTTAAAATAAAGATGGATAAGGATAAGATACAGGGATAAGGAGGGATAAAAAGGATAAAGATAAGTGTAAGATATGGTAGGAATAAAGATAAGGATATGATTTTGAAGGACCCTCTTGCCTCTTTGGGTCATTAGCTTATTGAAGCAGCCAAATTGCTTATATAGACATATGCAGATGGCAATTCAGAGTGCTAAGTACACTCCTGCACAAATACACACACTCACTAAACGTACATGCTCATATGGGGCTGTAACTTGATCTTTCTGACAGCTGCAGAGAGGAGCCTGAGGACTTATTATTACATTTAGCCCTTTGGAGGAAAGGAACATTAGTTTTAGGTTGCAACTCTCTCTCTATCTCTCTCTTTCTCTCTCTCTCTCTCTCTCACTCGCTCTGTTTGCTCTCTATACGCAGCTGTGATGGCTGTCTAAGTGGGATCCCCAAGGTTCCTGAAGTGGATCCTAGGAGGCCCCTAACGAAATGAAATTCAATTTAGTTCAATTCTGAAGAAATGACCCCAGTTACAGAATGTATAAGAATGAGTAACCACAGTTTTCAGCCCTACACATGCACTGTAGTCACTTCTCAAATTTAATACTAAATCAACTGAGATTCTCCCATATGGCCGCCTTGGATGAAATCTTATCAAAGGGAGGTCTGTGGGCTTAATGTGGGCTTATTTGGGGGGTCTCTGACATGAAAGAGTTTTGAGACCGCCTGCGGCTGCATCCTAGAAGCCAGAACTGAGGGAAAAAAAGTCAATGTGAGACCCAGAGAAAACCAAACGGGAAGCATTTCTCAGAGCACAGATGGCAGTCAGCTCTGAGGGAAATGGCACAGGGTGATGAGAAGGGCGGAGGACGGCGGGAGAGAAGGGTGGTGGCATTTCGGAAAAAGGGGATGTCAAGGGAGGGGGGGTGCGGCAACAGTGCAAGCAGCCCCCCTGACACACCTGCCGGGGTTTGGCACACTTAGCCTGTGTGTTGCATCGGTCCACATAATAACGTTTACATAACAGCAGGGAGGGAAAAATGGGTCTCACACCTCTCACGAGCCGCTCTCCTCTGTAGAGATAGACTACCTCGTGCTCCTTCACATCAGGGGGTGCCATCCTCCTAAGGGACATTTTTGTACCGTAAAAAAAAGTCTCAGCAAAAGATTCGCACATCAGATACTATCAGACTGTGTCCATCTGTTATCCTCCGTGACTCACACTCACATGAGATCTGTCAAAGCCTCATTGGAGCCTCAGTTTGTTGAATGCGGACAGAATAATAACTTTGTGTCCAAGAATAACAAGATATTGAACTCTTATTAGTCTGTAAAGCAGTACAGACCAATCTGTCATTGGAAAAAGTAATTAAAGGAAACTTCTGTCTCTTCTCTGCCACGACAGCAGAGCTGATAGGTTCCACTGACTCGACTGGATTATGTTTTTGCTTTGTCTCAGCTCTGGCAATCCAGATCCCTTTACATTAGATATGCACTGCTTCTATTTTTGCTGGATGCCAGAACTACTGTTAGTCTAGTGGATGTGTCTCGTGAGCAATTTTCCAGCATTTATTTGCTCTGCAGAGGACAATAAAACACATCAACTGCCTCCTGGTTGCATCAAAACCATTGCTTGTTTGCAGGGGTGCCTCAAAAGTCAATGCCCGGTCCCCTGCTTTTTCTCAAAATGGATTTCCTCATCTTGCACTGATATTCATAAATAGATTAATTATTAGACCTTCTTGTCATCCCAACCAGTATCCAGTTTGGATCACACAAACTCTCCTGGGATTCTGGGTGTCATGATTGATGTCCAGCTAACTTTCAAGGTCCATGTGGCCTTGATTCCATGGTCATGTCTTTAACACGAGGAGGATCAGACCCAGTTTAACAGAGACTGTGGGACAGCTCTTGGTGTGGGCTCTTGTAATAGACAGTGACGACTGCAACTCCTTACTGGCAGGTCTCCCCGCAAGCACATTCCACCCTGACAAGCTGCTGTGTTCTATGTTTGAATGCAGCATCCTCAAAGGGGCTGCTAAACACACAACTTGGATGATGAGAAATGGTCAGATGATAAGTCTATAATTTCCATAGTAAATCTGGGTCTCACAAGTCACACTGACAATATCGGCACTAAAAATGGTATAATACACTTACTGACTTGCATGAAAACCCACTTGCTTGACGCTAACAAGAAACTGTCCCTTCCAACAACCTGAACCTCCGAACATTTCAAAGCATCCATGATCCTGCTCAAAAGTCTGAAATAGTCACCCAACCCCCCAACATTAAATGGTGGCACCATTCTGCTCATGCATGTGAGGTCAAAGTCTTTAGTGGTCGACGTTTGTCTTGTTTTAATGTGGACCCCTTCAAGTTCCTGCCCCTTCAATTGAACAGTCTGCTCATTTTCAACTTTGCTTTTCTTGAAATGTCAACTTCATTCTCATCTGTTCATACTTAATTTGCTTTACTTTGAGCTTCGGCTCTAATTGTGTCAATCCAACATGAGCAGCTGAATCCCTGACACCCTCTTCAGAGTTGTCCTCCTCATCCGTACCCTTGGCCTTAGCCTCAGGATCATTAGCGAGGATCTGTTTCTCCAGCAAACCAGTAACAGCCGTCTGTTTAACGGCATCTTCTCTGCTCCCCGCTGACACTGTGATGCCAAAATAAGGAGTTTTAAGTTCTGCCTTCTTACATATATTCAGTGCCTCCTTAGTGGGATTCTCAATAAATGACTCGATAGTGAAGTCCATATTTATGCGATAAACTAAATATATCAGAAGTGACCAACAAGGTGTATTTGGGATCTCGGATGAACCCATAATTGTTACGCTTCTCCAGAAACAAAATCCGGCAGACAGGGGTCACAGGTTGGGTACTTTATAAAATAACTCCAAACAAAGTGGGTCCTCATGTTTTCTTAAAGGCGTAAGGAGAAAATAAAACCTCCTCACAGACACCCACTAGGTCGATCAAAACGATACATGCTCACAGCTCAATCATTGTTCCTGATCGAGCTGTGAATCTTGGGGTCTAGAGGATGAAACCAAACTTGTTTTGCTTTAGTTAAAGTTGGTCCAAACATCCTTTTCCATCAACACTGGTTGTATTTTGAACAAGTGCAAAGAGATCTAAGTATTTAGCTCTACAAATGTCACCATCATAGCTTCATAATCTTAAACCGAACTGAACCGTTTTTGGCCTATTTCTAAACCAATCACAATCATTGGTGTCACTGGCTTCAGTCAGCAGAGCATATGCATCTCTCAGGGCGTTCTCTCCCTCCTCTCTCGCCCTCTTGCCTCCTCCAGTCCCCCTCGGGCCTCCCAGGTGTGGGGCAATATGTTGCTCACACATGCTGCTCCAAGGTCGAGCTCTTACCCGTCCTCCTCTTTACTCAAAAAGTGGAGCGCTGACCCAGAAACCAGGTCCCTACATTTTTGCTGTCTAAGCAGCAATGAGAGTTAGTTTGATTTAAATATCAGCTCATGAGAATTGTGCAATAATTCTGAGGTAGTTATGAAGAAAATGAAATTTCGGACTAACTGAAAGTTATTTGACAGCTGCTGTGAAACTCCTCCCAGGGCTGATATTAGTTCTACTTTGGTTCTTAAAGTATGCATGAACTTATGAGCTCAGCAGAGATAAAACAGAGGAAATATTCAGGTTCCAATAATCCAAAGGTCTTGTTTTGACTGAGGAGTATTTGGGCCAGGCATAAGAAAAAAAAGAAATGCAAAGATTATTTCTTATTATTTTGCATTTTCAGAGGTAGTACACAACAAGCAGCTCAATTTTACTGCTGTATTAATATCCTGTTAGCCAGACTATAGTCATCTTTCCTGTAATAAGCTTGTGTCTGTCTGTTGCAGCAGTCAAAGAAACGCACCTAAACCATCAGGTCTGATAAAGATTGCATTCTGCACCCTGAAGCCCTTAACTGCAGCAGAAGTGCAGAATAACTTTATTTTTTTTACCCTCAACACAACTTGTCTTGTCTTGACCCTAAAGAGACCTTTTTGGACTCTTCAGTACAGCTTACAGCTTTTCTTTGCCTCCTCTTTCAAGCGAGTCAGTGAGGAGGGAATCCAAAGAGGAAACAGAGAACATGACAAAGTTCTCTTTGATTCAAACCTGTGCTGAGCTGAGTTACCTGAACAGACGGACCACACAGGCATGTTTCCCTTTTAATCCTGTAAAGAAGGGATGAAAATGGACCTGGCCTTTGGAAAAAGATGTTATCCAGTATGATTTTCAAATAATTAATAAACAAATTGGCCAAGGCTTCAGTCTTTCTATGGTGGAAACTCATTTTTAAGCAATTTTCTGTTTATTTTGAGTAATTATAATCCTGTTTAAACTTGTGTTTAACAAATAGAATTCTTAAATCTACAGCCTCCATTCCACGTGCAACAGAAAGCTTACAATCCTATTTACAGTAAAGTTTCCATGTCTGTTGATGACCTTAAAACTTGAGATTTAACATGAAATTCCACTTTTTGAATTAACAACACCGGCACTGTGTTGATACTGAAAATAAATTGTGTGCCATTCTTTTTGTGAGATAGAAATGATGCAAAACTGTAATATCTATACAAGTAGAGTCACATCCAGAGTGTTATATATCTAAGTTCAGATTAATTTTTAATGGATATTTCTGTATTATGTGTGTCAGGTTCATTAAATTATGAAAAAAAGTTTATTTAAATCTAAATTAACTCACTATTTTCTTTACTACTTTGATTTTTTTATGGAACACACAGAATAATAATATCTGCTTGAACACTGCTATAGTAGAGCTACTGGATCTCAATGCTGCTATACACACAGTCGACTGTAAAACACTGAACCAACTAAATCTGATTTAAAGGCAGAGACTCATTTGTGTCTATCGAAGGCCTCTTACCTGAGCAAAAAGTAAAGATTACATGTGGTGTTCCCCAAGGCTCCATTCTGGGGCCTCTTTGGTTTAAAATCTATTTGCTTCCATTGACTTAATGATAAAAGAACAAACAAAATAATAAATAAATAAGTTATCCTTACTAAACAGACGGCATACAGTGGAATAATACGTGGATGTGCCTCAATTTGCTCCAGTTGAAAAAAAAAAACAACTTGGAGTTGTTTTTCCAGAGCCAAAAACACGATTGCGATTCAAAAGCATCGACCAAACCAAAAATCACGATGTAGTTGTGAACTCAGTAACTGGCTCAATGTGGGTTTTAAAATCCAGGTCTATCACCCAAAGAATTTGTCAAGGATTAGAGGACTTAAGTCTCCCCTGGAAGTGGAAAAACAGTCCATCTTCAGTCAACTCAATTACTGTAACAGTGTCTCTGCAGGTCTTCCTAAAAAATCAATCAGACAACTGCAGCTGAGTCCTCACCAAGACCAAGGGAGTGGATGACTTCATTTCTGAGCTCCTTGTTTATCAGAGGGAAGACTTGCAAAGGCTACTGTTGGTTTATAAAGCAGTGATTGGTTCAGGCTCCACACGCTCCACGCTCCACCTCTTACATTACAACCTCACCAAGTACAGGTGTGCTTTCTGTCCGCTGAATCACAACCAAGCCATCTTCTGAAAAATGTCAAATCTGCTGAAAGTCTAAATTAATCTTTTAATTTGACGCTGAAGACATATGTCTACAGCTGGATTAGTTTCCCAGATTATGTTTTCACTTATTTTCGTTAGTGTTAGGTCTAAAACCTGCAACATTTACCTGATAACATATAAAGAAGAGAAAGACAATGGTATATACTCGAGGAGAATGGACCGAGATAGCTTCAGGTACTATATCGAAACCACTCTAAAGGTATTTCCGCCCAGTCTCTTTTATTTAGTCTTGTCCCTGGTTACATAATGTTTCTAAAAGGGGTGGTAAATGGTGCAGCAAAGTAAACATTCTCATAAAGCATAATGAACACTTGTGAATATGTGAAGGTCAAGGCGGCATCTAATGAGCTCCTTCTGATAACAGCGGCTCCTCCTCAAACACTCCCCACGATTTACTGCGGAGGATCCATCACTCACACACCCCCACCTGCTGATAGGAAAGACCCAGTCACAGAAAACTGAAAGAACATTGTTCTGCTGTGTAGTAAATCTATTGGAGAGAGAAGTTAGGAAACACTCTTATATAATGTATAAAAAGAGGTCAAAACAGTTTATACTTGTAGTCAACTCTTACATAAGAATATGAGGAATAATGATAACTTCTATATACATTTATGCACATTATTCTAACATTTCCCTCCTGTTTATCATTACTTTGCTCAAATTCTCATAATCCCTCTAGTTCAGCCACTTCTCTCGATTTTCAGCTGCGAGTTCATGTGTATGACTACAAAGAATTTACACACGGAGGTACAAGACGTTGCTTTAGTCAGAATTATACTCATCATCTGGATTAGGGCACAGGTCAGGCCATTGAGTGTCATCAAATCTGTCCTCCTCGTCCTGCTGATGGAGCAGCGGGTACAGCTCCTGCATCTGCTGCTCCACAGGGGACAACGCTGTGGCGATAAGACGGTTAAGAAGAGAACAAATACAGAAATACAACAACATCCACACAAGGTCAAATTAGCTGCAAAAACAGCAACAGAGATTAGGACTGAATCTACAAGATTTTTGTATTTTCCAAATACATTCATCCAATCATCCCAAAAGGAGTTATCTATTCCTGAGTGGTCTTTCATTTTGCTGTGAAGCGTTTTTAGGCCCTCTATGGCTCGAGTGAGGCTGCCATCAGCAGCAGTGTTATCAGGAATGAACGTGCGACACGTTTCTCCAAACATGGCACATACACCTCCTTTTTCTGCAAGCAGCGTGTCAAGGGCTATACGGTTTTGGAAAGCCATCAGGGATGTTACAGATAACTGCGAGTGAACCGCCTGAAAACCAGCCTCAGTCCAATTACCTAGCTTTTGAACGTTGAAATGGATGTAGTTGATTCTGATTTGATCTATATTTTTGTTCATTGTACACCAAGGACAGACGAGAGACTCAAAGCCTGCAGCAACTTGATTTACTAGTTTATACTCATCTGGTACCTCACAAGGAACTATCTATATAAGTCGGGTCTGACTCTGTTTGCTAATTTCTTTTACTCTGGAGTGGCTCAACAAAGGAATAAGACTAACTGCAGAGGTTAAATTTGTCACACTGGTCTGGAAAGTTACAACAGTTAGGATTAAAGTCACTAAGGCCCTATTATCAGTCTGCTGTCATTCAGGTACAGCTACAGAAAACACATACACTTTTGTTATGGTTAGGGAATTCCTAGTACAGACATAGAAGTTAGACTGATTCTTCATTTTTGCTAGATATTTTGCATATCTGTACCACATGTTCACTTTAAATTAGTTTTTCTTAATCATTATTTATTGAGAGGGATTACGAAGCATTCCACTATATGTTATTCATATCGTTATTAATATTATTCTTCCATCATTTTTGTTAACTAATTTTTTTTATTTTGTGATGTACCTTTAATAAACATAAGTATAAGTGTTTATTGACAAAACAAGCATACACAAAATCCCATTGTAAACAAAATAACAAACGCCTAGTAGCAGTTAAGCTATGGTAAAGTTCTCAGTGTCTTCACCACATGAAGCAACTGTGGTGTCCGTCTGGGTGATTCATACCCCTGCTCACTGTCTCTCAGGTTTGCTCTCTGCACATGGTCGCCTTCAGAACAGCTGAATGTGATTTTTGATTGGTAGTCACACAGGATGTGAGGACTATCGTTGTTGTCACTTCTCTTTCCTTCCTTAAGTTCATCTGAAGTTGTAAATAATGTTTCAGTAGGTAAATTAACAG